TGGCTGGAACCGGTTCTTTGGACACTGCAGGAGACACAAAAGGAAAAACAGAAGCTTAATGTTGAAGCTTATTCACTGTCATATAACAGCCAATACAATTACTGAGAACATTTAGACAATGGACGGATCTTTGTAGCTCTGACTGTAGGATAATTTATAAGAGTTTTTCAGATTCAGAGTGTGGAGCTACTGTTCATTTCCAGCTCTGTCTTCCAATTCCAGAAAAGCACAATTTAGCATCTATACGCAGCAGAAGATGAAAATGTTTAATATATCCTAAATAAAGGTAATACTGGGGTCAAAGGTTATGCTGCGTTGCCTTTAGATTCACTCCATCTTAAATTAACTTTTGTACCAGTTTGAGATGTAATTTTTAAACTCCATCTTTGACATGGGACTTTCAGCTGAGGGATGCTGCCAGCTTGCTGAACAATACATTACTGCTTCATCTGCGAACATCTGCATAGTGTTTTTCTACATTTATAGATGGTCGTAACGTAAAGTGAGAAAAAGCCTGGGCCTGAGTGATGAAACTTGTGGTGGTCCAAGAGTGCACTCACAATCCAGAGATTTGACACCATTGCCCCAAAAAACCTGGTCTTTCATTGGTAATATAAGATTGGACCTAATTTATGTTTTTTTTTTTTTTCTGAATAATCAAGTGTTAATTACGTTAAATTAATTTGCTGCTTTTACAACTAAGCTGTATAATTCTAAGATATTATACAACCTAAAATAAATTTTAGGGGCAAGAAATAGGAATATGAATTTGATTTTTGAGTAGTAAATTATAATTTACTTATTGCAGTAAATCATTCATACAGGCTAAAATATAATTATTAAAACTTTCCTTTTTGAAAAAGCTTATAGTTAGGGTGGCTCAAGTTATCCTGAGCTATCTCTATAGTTATGCTGCTATAGGCTTAGACTGCTGGAGGACATAGGAACCCCATTTCATCATTCTGCTTCATTCTATCTCTATTCTCTATTCTGCAGTATCTGTTATTTCAATCTCTAACGTTTTGCTCTCTGCTTTTTCTCAAAGTAGCTTCATCTGGTCTGTTTGGCTGTGACTCCATCCTGGAGAGAAATATGAGCTGTGCTGCTGCAATTAACACCTTTGTTTATAGATTTTGGAGATTGGCCTGTTTTTCAGTGTTGTCCTGTTTCTCTGACTGTGACTGGCTGGACATGCTCTCTTCATCCTCTGACATGGCCGCTCACACTGAGCCTGGTTCTGCTGGAGGTTTCTTCCTGTTAAGAAGGAGTTTTTCCTCTCCACTGTCGCTACAAGCATGCTTAGTGTGAGGGATTGCCTTAGCTAGGAAACTTTGAATTAATTTGACTGTATGATCTGGTGAACTGTAAAGTGCCTTGAGCTGATGATGTTGTGAATTATTGCTATAGAAATAAACTGGATCAAATTAATATTGAAAAATATAAACAAGTGGTTCAAAAGTTTTTTTTGTTGTTTTTAACTTGACCAGAATAAGAATCGTTAAGCTTTGGCTTCAAGGATCTATGGAACCGATCTAATTCAGGTTTAGACTAGAATTTAAAAATCTTCTTGTACAAAGGTTCTATCTTAAGACAAGTCTGACACCAAACTGTTTGCATCACATGGGCATTAGTGGGGTTAGTGTTGTGGGCACGTGGCGGGTAGATCCTGACAAAAATGTTCATGGATACGTTTTGTGAAAATTCACTTTAAATTCAGTTTAAAGTTGTGCCCCATTCAACCGTTTTAAGATCAATAATTTTTAATTTATCTGAACGTCTTAATTTCATAACTGGTTAGAACAATAGTTGGCTTGATTAATGGCATCTCTTGACCCCCATATTTTTATGCTCTAATGACTGCAGCTCACTGAATTCCCAATAAACAGCAGCAACCAAATACACTGCAAACGGCCGCCTGAGCCTCTCTACAGATTAGGACTGAGCACAAATGTACCTGAGTAGTAGGAATTCAGCAAGGATTTGCTCTGCAGCGTCTTGCTTCCCTGCACAGAGAAGGAGCAGGGGGAGGGGGAGGCTGTGGAGAGGAGAGGTGAGGAAAGATATGAGGGAAATTAAAAGTGGGTGACAAATGAGAAAAAAAAGGGAAAGGACGGTAGGTGGAGATCAGGATAGGAATGGAGTTGCGAAAATAGAAGATAAGGAAGAACAGGGAAGGAGAAGAGAAACGGGAGAGAAGCTTTAAGTTACAGAAAAAAAAAACAACAGCTGATTTTTTTTTTTTTTTTTTTTACAGAGACAATAAAAACATCAACTGAATGGGATCAATTTTCAGCTGCATGTGGAGCAATCCGATAACACTAATGGCACCGCTGACGCACCCTGCATTGAATCTGGCATGGCGTTGGCAGGCCGATGGGAATGCACTTACATCTGATGTGTTTCTCAATAGGGGTCAATACATTAAACTGGTCAGAAGATGAAGAAAAGTTGGGAAAGATTGGCGGCTCTCCGTGTTTGAAGGGGATAAATTATGGATTTGGATACGAGGAGAGGTTGAAAGACGTGTTTCACCGCCGGATGTCTCAGCATCAGATGCTTACCATGATATAAATCTATGCGAGGTCATATCTTGTAACTGCGGACCAAACCCTCTGATTTGTTTTAGAAAGGAAAAGGAAATCAATGAAACGGGAGGAAAAAATAAAAAAAAAATCATCATAAAGTGTCAAATATTTCTTATTAAAGGCTCTGAGGAAGAAACCCCAGAAGGTCAACGCCATGACTCATTCTGTTCCCCAAAGAGACATAAGGTATGTTAAAGGTCAAGTCACACATCCTCCAACCAGCTGCAGTAATAATGACAGCAGGTGAGGCGACGCCATCATTAAAAAAGGGGGAATTTCCCAGAACCGCGTTAAACTGGTCAGGAGTTATGCTACGTTCAGACCGCAGAAGAGGCAGTTAGTTTACATGCAAAGTCAATGGTTGACGTGCATCAAGGCGCAGCAAAACGTCCTGCAGCGTGTCTGAGTAGCTCAAGCAGACTTCTGAGTATCTGACGCACTTCAGAAGCAGCAGCTACTGGAGTTGGAAATTATAAACTTTTGCTGCTCGAAGCGTCACATCAACCAATCAAAGAAGCTGATCTGGGAGCTGGCAGGGAGACAGACACAGCACTGCTGATGCAGAGCGCTATGATCACTCCCCTGAAACAGTAACCACTGCTAACCCCACTGGCCACCCCACTGTCCCACTGGCAACCACACTGGCGACCACACATGCCCACTGGCGATCACACATGCCCACTGGCCAGTGTAAATTGTAGTAGCATCAGTTTAGCATTTCATCCCATTATGCACAGCCAGCGACGTAACATTAAACTTCACACAATAAACCAAGATATGAGTAGGAGTTTAATCAGGACTTTAAGCTTTTAACAGGCAGGTTTACCACAACAGTAGATTCAAACCTTGAAATTATGGCTTTTAGTTTCAGTGTGCCACCCCAAGATTATATTCGCCCCATCTGCCCCCCCTATGAAACATTTCTAGAGGC